TCCAATAAAAGAATGAACTGGCTAATATGTTTTTTGTAATAAAATTTAATGCAAATTTCCACTACTTGCTATGAGACACACAGATTAAATAGGACCGGCTCTGATGTCGATGCTGAATTGGTTAAAGCCATCAGATACGATGCCGATCCAGACTTGCATACTTGTGCCTTTCTTATAGGATTTTGTCTCAGATGCTAGGGTGAGTTGCATATGCGATAGTGATATTATTAAAATATGATTACTTGTTGAAATATCGTGATTTGTGTGATTACATTGATTTGTTATTTGTAGGTATTTACTTTTGGTTTCTGTTGTAGGATCGTGCGTTATTCTCAGACATCCGTGCTCTAGCTTTCTCCTCGCAATTTGCTCTCCTCGCACTTCAGCTTCCTCCGCATTCAATTTGTAAGTTCGCTTAATTCATATGCCGCAACTCTGTAAAATTGTAGTTGTGATTTGTTTCGTTTAAATTTACCGTTTATTTCTAATAAATTTAAGTAAGCTTGTTTGAGTTATCTATCTGCTCAGTCCAAACTTATGCTTATCAAGCCAATAGGGAAGTTGCATTTAATTTCCGGTCATTAATTGGTGGACGTGGCAATTAGACCGTCCGAACTTTGAGGTGACGCGTTTGGCTGTTCGGGGATTCAAGATCTTTTTCTTGTCAAGATCAGGATTCTTTTATTCATTTTTTTAATTTTGCTCCTCACGCTTGCAAATCGCACATTTTGTCTTAATACTAAGTATTTATTTGATTTGATTGTATTATCAATTCCTTTACGATGCTTATGAGTTTCTATGTGTTTGTTCAGGTTTTCAGCTACTGCTACAGTGATTCATAACTATTTTCGCACTGATTCATGTTGATTTGCTTTCATTTTTCTGGAGATATGGATCTAAAGGTTTTTCACATTAAATGTGTGCTTTTCGCATTAAATTCATAAGATTTTTGGTCGACTGTCATTTCCCCTAAAAACGTTGTCCAAAAAGAATTCCCATTCAATGTGTGTTTCTTCGTAAAACCTACATTAGCAGATGGATCAAATCCTTTTTTATATGGAATAAATTTCAAATATTTTGAAGAAATTCTTGAGCGTTTCTCATCAATCAAATGGAAGGGAGTAATATAACACGAAATTCGTGTTATAGCTTGATATTGGATGTGGATTGAGGGTTTGATATTAGATGTGGATTGAGGATTTTATCTAAGATATGGATTGAGGATTTGATATTAGATGTGGATTGAGGATTTAATATTAGATGTGGATTGAGGATTTGATCTAAGATGTGGATTGAGGATTTGATATTAGATGTGGATTGAGGATTTAATATTAGATGTGGAGTGAGGGTTTGATATTAGATGTGGATTGAGGATTTAATATTAGATGTGGATTGATTCTGATGATTGAGGTGGTAACGACTATTGAGCGTCCAGTAATTACAGTGGTGGGGAGGTGACGTATGGTAACAAGCGGACGTGGTACGTTGGCTTGTGCTGGTTGAGTGGCGCTAATATTGTGTTGAGTGGCGCTAATATTGTGTTGAGTGGCGCTAATATTGTGTTGAGTGGCGCTAATATTGTGTTGAGTGGCGCTAATGATATTGTGTTGAGTGGCGCTGATGTTATTGTGTTGAGTGGCGCTAATGATATTGTGCTGAGTGGCGCTAATGATATTGTGCTGAGTGGCGCTAATGATTTTCGTTTGAGGAACGAAAACAATCTAATTAGAGCTCGGAGTTTTAGGCTGTTTGCTTTTAACATGTTGAAAGCACTATTTGATCTTTGGATTATTTCTTCCTCGAATTTAATCGTATCAGTAAAGAAAAAGGAAAGCGCTAATGATATTGTGTTGAGTGGCGCTAATGATATTGTATTGGGTGGCGCTAATGATATTGTGTTTAGTGAAGCTGTTGAAGCTCATGCATGATAGTAAGCGACTGTGCCACTCATGATATGAATCTTAGCTTACGCTCGCTCAGCTCATGCTGATTTTCACGCGTTGACTGTGCGCTCGCTGTGCAGAAGCGAATTACCATGTGTCTTTGCCCTGGAAAGTATTTAAAAAACGAAATTATGTTTATATGTCATGAAAGATTTTAGGCCGGGTCACTGACCTTGCAACTAATGCATGGGTATGGGCATGTGCAATTTGTGCATGAGTGTTGGTGTAGATATGCGTAAATTGGTGGATAGATTAGGCCAGCCCTGTATTAGTAGTGCTCATGGAGAAAATTAGAACAAATTCAAATCTAGAAATTCTATTCGAGAGACCATCCATCGATATGAAGCCTATTCACAGTGATTACATTGCTTGTAAAATTCCCTTTGCAAAGATTGATGAACTGTGTATTGAGACGCATAAAGTAGTTTATAGCTTTATGTTGATCAATAATGAGGAGCAGACGATTTCTCAATTTTTTACCACGTTTTTCTTAGCTCGCTTTCATGTCTGTGATGATCAAATCTTGCAATCGATATTTCACCAACGTTCCCATTATATAGCTAGCGCTCTGAAACTTTTAGGGAAGCTCAGCTCCCGATAACAATACAATAATCAATAATTTGTTGCACGTTTCCAGGCGTAAAAACTCTAAAGCAGTGGTTCCCAAAGTGGGCGATATCGCCCCCCTAGGGGCGGTGGAAAGATTTTGGGGGGCGGTAAGGAAGAAGAGGGCGTTTGGGGGGCGATAGG